ACACACACACACACACACACACACACACACACACACACACACACACAGCTTTCTGCAGATTGATTTAGATGATTGTTTTATCTCCCAACATCGTGAATTTCCTTCTCTGCAGTAGAAACTTGAGAAACTCGCTCGGTCACAGTTGCCTTCGAGTCAGGATTAACGACAGTGAGTCCATCTTCCGCCCCAGGACACGTTTCTAGAAGCTCACACAGTCCTGAGTGTTTTAATTGAGTGTGTGTGGTCGCCTGCTTGTACCAGCACGTTTCTGTCTGAGAGGGAACTGAAGGTTATGAAAGTCCTGGAGGTGCAGCCACTGAATGAGAGCATCAACTCATTCCTTTGGATAAATCCCGACCTTTCTCTCTTCTTGCAGAGTTCCTGTGATGCCCCAGGGCGGGCGGAGCTGGTCGGGGTTGCGATGCCGTACAAGGACCGTCAGAATCGCAGCTGCGGCTTTCTGGACATCGAGGAGAATGAGAGCAGCGGCAGGTTCCTGCGCCGATACTTCATCCTGGACACGCAGCAGGGCAGCCTGCTGTGGTACATGGACAACCCACAGGTTAGAGACCGTGTGTCTGATGAGCTGAGAACATGTGGACCATCATACTGCCTGTCTATAATGTTCTGTGTGGTCCAGTTGTGTTCGGTGGGCGAGCTTCACAGACGACAGGAAAACTTTTATTGAACAGATTAAACAATGCATAAAAATATGTTTATCTTCTTCATTCAAGTTCTGTTGTTGTTGTTGTTGTTGTTGTTGTTGTTGTTGTGTGGCAGCAGGACGTCTCTGCATATTTATTTTAGTGTTTGGAGCTGAACTGATCTTCTGTCGTTATCTCTGTAAATGAATTAAATTCTATTTTATTATACTGAAAGTGCAGAAGATGTGTAACCAGAGGAAGGTGCAGTGTTGACAATGGGACTTTTCAATCAAAAGAAAAACCTTAAAGAAGTTGGAGTAAAAAGCAGTAAAAGGGAAGTTGTGGGTTCATGACACAGAACTACACGATCCACTGATTGCACTCTGATTGGTGGAGGCAGTAGGAGGAGACGAGGCTGTTCACAGCTGTGTGACAGGTTGGATGTACACATGTGAGTGGGTTGACTGATGCTTGGTTTCAAACCTTGCAGATAAACAGGAACCAGAAGAGAAAGTGTATTTTATTTCCCACTGTGGGGAATTCCTCTGCATGAGGTAGAAGTTTGGCAGCTGTGTCAGTGCAGAGTTTGGGCCGAGGCTGTTGATGATATTTCCTTGATGGCTGAACATTTCCTCTCCAGAGAACATAAAACTGAAACACACATGTTTCCCATCGTTTTCAAACTGTTGCCCCAAAAGAGGAAGTTCTGATTCTGAGTCTCGATGTAAATCTGCGGTCGATTGTTCGTGATCAGTTCAAAACTTCGGGCTCTGATTTGATCGACACTCTCATAGTACGAACAGTGAAAAACAGTGGTTCAGTTTATTACATTTTACATTCACCAAATCATTTGACATCACGTTATTAACATTGTTTTGATCTTCTGCTGAAGATTTTGGGTTTGGAAACACTGGACACGTTTAAAATCTGTTAAAGCTTCGGTCTTGATTCCCACCACATCACTCAGCCTCAGGGTCTAAGGGCCTTTTCAGAAACAAACTGAATCTTTATTGTAAAGAGCAGCAATAATAAGGTGATGTTTCTTTCTGTCTTTGTTCAGAATCTGCCTAAAGGTGCAGAGAAGGTGGGATCTCTAAAGCTCACCTACATCTCGAAGGTGAGTCACTCCTGTCACATCAGCTGGACTCTATATAGAGATGATAGAAATGATCTCGTGTTAGCGTATCCACTGTGTGATGCAGCAGATCATGTCATGTGATGTGTCTGGACACGTCTCCAGCTGTGATGACTCTTCTTCTTCCTCTCTTTCAGTGATGACTTGTAGTTATTATTACTGACTCTGAGCTGAATCTCCCTTTTACGACATAAACTCTTTTCTCCACTGTTCAGGTCAGTGATGCCACCAAGCTCAGACCAAAGGCAGAGTTCTGCTTCGGTGAGTTCACCTTCACTTTCTTCTCCTCTTCCTCCGTCTCCTCCGTTTGTTTCCTACGCTACAGCTCTATCCACTATGAAGGAGCACGAGGGCCAAGAACCAGACGAAGATGAGAGAGCATTTTTAAGAATTAAGTCAAAATTACTAAATTAGGTTTTGATAGATTTTATATTTTAATATTGAGAATAAAGTCAAAATGTTCTGAATGTCGTGAATAAAGTTGAAGTGTAAAGATTGAGGGTGCGGTCACACACACGTGAATCCAAAGTGAATGTCCAGGGTCAAAGTCCAACTCCATTCAAAGTGTGATTTGTTTGCCACAGGAAGCAAAGGTTTTATTGGCCTCCTCACTTGCACAGATTGAAACTGAACAGGAGGCGAAGCTTCTCTGACACATTCACGTATGTGTCATCGAGCTCGGAAGTTAATCTTTACTAACATGAGCTTTCATGACTGCCGCCATGAAATACTTTGTGTTGTGCAATTCTTCCTCAAAATCAGTCTTAGTCACAAGGAAACTCTGTTTTAACTCATAAACACAGTGTGATGATCCGTGTCAGGAGAGATTGAGCTGCTTCTGCTCAGAAACAACTTTCATAACCTGCAACCTTATTCTCAAACCCTTTTGTCTCCTGGTCCTCGGGCTCTTCTCTCATCCTCTTTAATCTCAGTGCATCTTAATTTTCCTGCAGTGACATTGGAGAGGAAAGTGAGATTCTAGTTCAGCTGTAGAATTCTGCCTTTAGTCTTTTCCTGTTCCAACATGCTCACGTGCACAACGCCAGCTCCACACAGAACAAGCTTTTCTCAGTCCGGTGTGGACGAGCTCGAGCGGCCTGCACGGAGCCCTGACCTCAACCCCACCCAACACGTTCTGGATGAACTGGAGCACCGTCTGCGAGCCGGCCCTCTCCCCCTCATCCCTTCACCCCCCCCTCACCACCGAGCATCAGAGCGCCAGAGCCGGACCTAATTAATGGTTTATCGGCTGAGCGGCGGCGAATCCCTGTGGCCACGGTCAACACCTGGTGGAAAGACTGAAACCAGAATAATGGAGGCAGGAGCTGAATGGATATTTAGATTGACGTGTTCAAACATCTCACACAGATGCAGGTTTCAGGTGTTCGTGCACTTTCTTTCCCTCCGTCACCCCCCCTGCAACTTTTCTCCTTCCTCTCCAACCTCCTCTATTCCGACTCTTTCCTTGCGCTCATGTGCTTCCTTTTCCTTTTATTCCACTCTCCCTCCCTCTTTTCCTCCGACGGTAGCTTTATTTCCTCTCTTTTGTCCTGTGCTGCCTGTTGTTTTTCCTCCGGGGACCAACACTAGCTTTTTGTCACTCAATGGGAGGAAACTGTCCAATGACCTTGACCTGACCTGTGTGTGTGTGTGTGTGTGTGTGTGTGTGTGTGTGTGTG